ACTCTACTCTACTCTCTACTCTAACTACCTACTCTCTCTCTCTCTCTCTCTCTCTCTCTCTCTCTCTCTCTCTAAAACACCATCTCTCTCTCACACATAAGAATGTGTGCTCGTGTTCAAGCTCAAGCTAAACCCCTTAGCTGGTAAACTCATTGAGAAGCGAAGAGAGCGAAATAGAGTTTGAATAGGGTGTCATTTTAGTGTTTGTTTGGGTCAAAAATTTATGGTCAGAGGAGTCCAAGGGGTTGTAACATAGAAAAGATGAGACATTTTGATTACAAGTAATATTTTCAATTTTTAGGTCTCATGAGATATGGAAGTTAAAAATAGATGATAAGGAGATATTTTTCCAATAAACGTGCCAATCATTTTCATGAAAACAAGGTGTGCCTAGATAGTAGGGGTGGCAACAGGTCTGGCTAAACCCGAACTTAGACCTGAATAGATTTAAGGTCCAAAATATAGACCTATACCCGGACCCTTCGGATCTTGGGTCTACCCGTCAAGTACTGGGTTTAGCGGATCCTTTACCACCCTATGACTATGAGCTTTTTTTTTTGTCTTTTTTATTTTACCATCATATACCCTATGACTGAGCTTTTTTTTTTTTACCATCATATATCCTATGACTATGAGCTTCTTCTTTTTTGCCAATATTGTGACAATATGAACACCTAGAGCATGCCTAAAGACACATGATTTCCATCATATACCCTATGATTACAGATACAGGTCAAGTCCAAAATTTGGACAAATATCCGGATCTGAAGTCAGATATACCCGAGGGGTCCCGGGTTTAGACGGGTCCATTGCCACCCCTACTTGATAGCAGAGGAAACCACCAAATACAAACAAAAGTTATTAAATATTAGGTTGCAACCTTAAACAATCAAAGTAAATGCAACTCCAAATTTTATTATAACATTTTTGGGTCAAAAAGTTTTTGGATGGCCTGATAATCCATATTCATCTCTAATTAAGAAATTTTAAACTCTAAAAATGAGTAAAACCAAATAGCTTTGTAACCATATGAAAATCTTAAAAATAGACAATCCAAATAATCTGTTGCAAAATGCACTATTTTTTAGACTCGAAAACTTTATTTTTTTCACATATTCATATATATGAAGTCAAGATGATCGATTAGAGGGTTTTCCCAACATCAAAACAGTCTTTCTTTTGAATTTTTGAAGTGTACCTTAATTCTATATTTTAAGGTAGCAACCTTGTATAAACTTTTCCTTTTTTTTAATTTTCAATATGCACATTTGGGGCAATTTCCCCCAAAAGGGATTGTTAGCAAAGGAGCTAGTGGTCTTCTTATAACTGCCATGTCTACGGTATACTTGGCTCGACACATTCAGGTTTGTTTGAGCAGATAAAATTTCCAGATTATCTTTGATTTACTCTGAAAAAAAAAAAAAAGAAAGAAAAAAAAAAAAAGAAGAAGAAGAAGAAGAAGAATACGATATGAGCCTTTGAAAACCCAGATACCTTGTGCCCCTAAAGTAGATATCCCACAGAAGGGTCCCACAAAGAGAAATAGAGCCGATCTTTGAAGGGTCTTTAGAAGAGGGGAAGTTCTCAGAACTAACATACATGGCTTTTGCATGTTGACGGTAGCTAGGCAACTGGGCCAAACCGCAAAAACTTTTGTCCTCTAATAATCTTTTCGATAAATAGATAACAAATTTACCACCGATACCATCTGAAAGTCGTTCAACACATAAAATTGTCACTACCAAACGGTTATTACTAAATTCACATGTTTTAAAAATTATCACAATCTTTTTTTTTTTCTTTTTTCTTTTTTACTTTTTTATAAAATGACCAAAATACCTCTATCTTTACCAAAACCAAAATACTTTGCGGTTTCAAACCCCCAATTCGTAACTGTTGTCAATTGGGTCCAATAACAAACTTCAGGGGAGTATATGGGCCGAATTCAAGTGCAACAGCTGAGAGGTTTTGAAAATCCAAAATTGGGGCAATTTGGAAAAGAAAAAAACAATCATTGTATTCAAACTTACAGTCTTTAATAAAGCAGAACAAAAATCAAGATTCATATAACCGATTCTAATTTATTGTAAAAAGGCTAAAATGATGATGATGATAAAATCTTTTGAGTAATAAGAGGTAATCAAAGGACTACCAACATAATTTTCTCTATAAAATATAAGGAGGGGGATGCTGGCAAATGCATAAAAAAACTGTTTGCGTACTTTTGACGCATGACCAAAATTAAAGAGAAAGAATCAGAAAAAATACCATAACAAACAAGAGACATTAGAAACACAAAAAAAAATAAAAAAATAAAAAAATAAAAACAAGTGCCACATTTCCGTATAGTAAGCCATTAGGCTTTTGTCCCTCTAACATGCTAAGTACTCAACCTCGAGAGCAGAACAAAAATTGAATTGCCTAAACTTAAAAAACCAAGCATTTCCTGCCTGAGAAAAAGAGAGCTCACAATACTAAACATGATAGACTACCATAGATTACCAAGTTTCTACTCTTTTAACCATCCCACAACTCAAGACTCAGTTATATGTTAATCACCCGCTTCACCCCACCGCACAAATCTCCAGAAGAGAGCACCGATAGCTAACGAAGCTTCTCGTCAACAAATCTTCACCCTTCGAGACCACCCTCTCTAAGCGGAAGCTCCCCAAACTTGTAGATGGCTCAAGAATGACCCAACCTCATCCCACCCACACCCTAAGAAGATAAGTATTTTGTGCTCAAACTCTAAAGATGGATGCTTTGAGAACCAACCAAACCCAAGCCTCTCCTCCCGTAACAAGTAAAGCCATGAGGGCCACATCCGCCTCAAGCCGTTGCCGGCACCTTAGGGGCCACACTCTTGGCTGAAGGGTTCGAGCCTAAACCACCACCAGCATTAGGGTTGGGGCGATTGGATCTGCCACCACCACCACCACCACCACCATTACCCATGTTATTCTCCACCCTCTGATAGCCACCAGCCCTTCCTCCCCTTCCTCCACCATACTCGGTCCTTGGGCCATTGCTGTTGAAGTCACCACCTCGAGAGTAGCCTCTACCACCACCCCCATAGCCACCACGTCCTCGAGGTCCCTCATTTCGGAAGCCACCCCTTCCTAGAGGAAATCGGCCTCTAGAAGCTGCGAATGCTTTGAGGATAAGTCAATTTTTTGCTCTAGACTTTGTTAAAGATCGTGTTATTTTGTTTTTTGGTTTTTTTGTTTTCCTCCCTACACTTGTGAATTGTGTACTTGAGAGGGATTCTGGAAATTTGGCTTCAGTTAAGAACATGATAATTTCTGAAAGACCGAGAGATGGGAAAAATTCAACAGTGAAAAGGAAAGAATAGCAAAAAGAATATATTGAATTCTCATGAAAGATAGAGAGAGATGGGCAAAACTCAACAGCGAAAAGGAAAGAAAAGAAAAATTCCCATATTTCTTAGATTTCAAGTTTAAATTACTTCACATTATTCCTTCATTTTTTACAAGTTACGTATTCATCTGAATTGTTGTATTTAAGACGGAATGTATACTTTTCAAAATAACTACAGAAATGGATTAAAAAGTGGATGACAAAATCCCATGTTGTAAACATTTTGCAAGTTGCAAGATATTCAGAAAAAGGAAATACATGTGATAACAGTTTTGTATTGAAGAAAGAAAAAGCTTGGGAACTTGCCTCGAGAACCAGAAGGCCTCTTCTCCTCAACAAAAGCTTGACGACCACCAATCATTATGGGGGAGGCCTGAGAAAGATGGATTTTAATGCATGATGAGACATCATAGTACCATTACCAATGCAATGCAAGAGTGAAAGACAATTATTATAAACAATAGCACTGCAGGACAACCAATTCTGAGAGCATAGGAGCAAAGAATAGGCAATGCATGAAAACGGTTCCGTCCTCACCACCTTTGTTTTGTGGGAGCATCAGTAATACTAATTGTACTGTTTTACAAAATTATCTTAAGATGATTTGCAGAAAGTTAAAACAGCGGAAATCACATGAGACAATGACCAACATAATAATGAAATGGCAGGACACTCAAACTAATAGATTAATGAAGCATTGGAAATGATGTTTACCAAATAAACCATTAATATTAACTGATGCTGACAAAGTGAAATGTTTTGGGCTTCCAGCCATACTGTCAAGTAGACACGTAAGTATCCAAAAGGGCTCAATTTCTAATCTCAACCAGAAGAAATTGCATCAAAGGATTGTTCGTGTTAATTGCTATGAATAACTCCAGTTCGAATAATACCACAGTTTTTTGATGCTATAATTTAGTCAAAGGCCCAATGATGAGAAAGCCCTATTTTTCTTCTTGAGCTAATAGCAAGCAAATAATCATAATTATCATCCTCATGGCCTTTTCCCAATTAATTGGGATAGGCTACATGAATCCCGGTCCGCCATTCTGCTCTATTAAAAGCCATAACCTCAGTGAGACCAAAAGTCCCCATATCTTTTCGGACTATTTCCAACCACATCCTTTTGGGCCTACCCCTTGCCATTTCCAAGCCTTCCACTTGAACTAACTCGCATCTCCTAACAGGTGTTGTACTGGGTCAGCGCCATACATGGCCAGTCCACCTAAATCTACTATCTCTCATCTTATTGCCTATTGATGCCACACCTAAATTTTTCCGAATGGATTTATTTTGATTCTATTCCTTCTTGTCTTACCACTCATCTATCTCAACATCCTCATCTCCGCTATACTCATTCTATGGGAATATTTGTTTTGTCTGCCCAACATTCCATCCCATAGCGCAAGCTCGCCTCACATCTATCCTATAGAACTTGCCCTTCAACGTCATTAGTATGCAGCAATCACATAAAATTCCAATTGCATATCTCCATTTCGCCTACCCAGCTTTAATTCTGTGTGCGACATCTTCCGCAATCTCTCCATTTTCCTGTATTATCAACCCAAGATATCGAAAGTACGCCCTTTTTTGTACTTCCTGGCCACAATCTTAACTACTTCCTCGTCTCTACTCCTATTATTACTAAACTTGCATTCCATATACTCTGTCTGTACTGCGACTAATTTTAAAACCTTTGGATTCTTCAAAAATGATAAACAATAGGGGTAATATGTGGGTGACATGTAAACTTGATAATTGAATTAATCAGAGAAACAATGTCAATGGCAGCTACATTCATCCATTCATCAAACATTTCCAAACAAGGTATTAACATGTAGGCGAATATAATGTCTAGAGGTCATAACCATTCCTCCAATATAACCCTCCAACTTTATAACATCGATTATGTATCCAGGAGCGAAGGCAAGTCAGAATCATTGTTCTAGGCCCTAAGCCTCTAACTTGGTAGAACCACATTTGCTCTTAGCTGTCACGTATGCTATAAAAATAAGTGTACGGAGCCTATTTTCGGGCTCTAAAATAAGTGTATGGAAAAAAGGTGCCATTTCTAAAATTTGGAGCACCTTTCCAAGGCCTAATTTGTACATAAGTGAATAAGTACAACAATAAGGTTGCGTTGCACCTCTGGCAAACTGAGTTGGTACAATATTTTACCTTTATAGTAGTTTTCTGCTTCGCTGACCAAGATCACGTCCAAGCTTTAAATATTAAATCGAGTTTGAAGACCATATTTTCCATCAATTACACATATGCATGTGTATATATGTATGTATAAATGCATGTATGTCTGTATGCAAATGGATGATCATAGTAAGAGCTATACCCTAAATTCATTCAAATTGTACGTGACCTTGTTGATTAACAAATTGGGATAGGCTACATGAATCCCGGTCCGCCATTCTGCTCTATTAAAAGCCATAACCTCAGTGAGACCAAAAGTCCCCATATCTTTTCGGACTATTTCCAACCACATCCTTTTGAGCCTACCCCTTGCCATTTCCAATCCTTGCACTTGAACTAACTCGCATCTCCTAACAGGTGTTGTACTGGGTCAGCGCCATACATGGCCAGTCCACCTAAGTCTACTATCTCTCATCTTATTGCCTATTGATGCCACACCTAAATTTTTCCGAATGGATTTATTTTGATTCTATTCCTTCTTGTCTTGCCACTCATCTATCTCAACATCCTCATCTCCGCTATACTCATTCTATGGGTATATTTGTTTTGTCTGCCCAACATTCCATCCCATAGCGCAAAGCTCGCCTCACAGCTATCCTATAGAATTTGCCCTTCAACGTCATTAGTATGCAGCAATCACATAAAATTCCAATTGCATATCTCCATTTCGCCTACCCAGCTTTAATTCTGTGTGCGACATCTTCCGCAATCTCTCCATTTTCCTGTATTATCAACCCAAGATATCGAAAGTACGCCCTTTTTTGTACTTCCTGGCCACAATCTTAACTACTTCCTCGTCTCTACTCCTATTATTACTAAACTTGCATTCCATATACTCTGTCTGTACTGCGACTAATTTTAAAACCTTTGGATTCTTCAAAAATGATAAACAATAAGGATAATATGTGGGTGACATGTAAACTTGATAATTGAATTAATCAGAGAAACAATGTCAATGGCAGCTACATTCATCCATTCATCAAACATTTCCAAACAAGGTATTAACATGTAGGCGAATATAATGTCTAGAGGTCATAACCATTCCTCCAATATAACCCTCCAACTTTATAACATCGATTATGTATCCAGGAGCGAAGGCAAGTCAGAATCATTGTTCTAGGCTCTAAGCCTCTAACTTGGTAGAACCACATTTGCTCTTAGCTGTCACGTATGCTATAAAAATAAGTGTACGGAGCCTATTTTCGGGCTCTAAAATAAGTGTATGGAAAAAAGGTGCCATTTCTAAAATTTGGAGCACCTTTCCAAGGCCTAATTTGTACATAAGTGAATAAGTACAACAATAAGGTTGCGCTTAGTTGCATGCAGGAGTCAGTGTTGTCAAAACTTGCGTTGCACCTCTGGCAAACTGAGTTGGGACAATATTTTACCTTTATAGTAGTTTTCTGCTTCGCTGACCAAGATCACGTCCAAGCTTTAAATATTAAATCGAGTTTGAAGACCATATTTTCCATCAATTACACATATGCATGTGTATATATGTATGTATAAATGCATGTATGTCTGTATGCAAATGAATGATCATAGTAAGAGCTATACCCTAAATTCATTCAAATTGTATGTGACCTTGTTGATTAACAAATTGGTATACCCTAAATTCACTCAAATTGTATGTGAGCTTGTTGATTATCAAATTGGTGGAAAATCAAATACACATAAAAGAAGCAAAAGGAAAAATGCAAAGTAGAAAAGGGTTGTTAGGTGCATAGTTACCAAGATCTCCAAAGTCCAAACCACAGGGTTGATCCCACCCCAGAATCTCACTCTTGCACTCCGAGGGGAATCTTGTTCCACCACTATTCTTAAACTTTGGGATCTTGATCCTTCCTATTAGGGATTAAGATCCTTGGTTACACTTGGAACCAAATTCCTTTGCATCATATCTGAGGGTTCCTAAGTAAAGTGAACTGAGATTCCACCGACTTGGGATCAAGATTCCATTAGTGATTGATCCCGCTCTGAAAGCTTGATATTGCGCTCCAAGGAGGGCAATTTTACTCCACTATTCCTAAACTTTGGGATCCTGATCCTTCCTATTAGGGATTAAGATCCTTGGTTACACTTGGATCCAAATTCCTTTGCATCATATCTGAGGGTTCACAGGTAAAGTGAACCGAGTTGTTGACCCTGCTCCGGAAGCTTGCCCAAGGAGGGGAATCTTACTCCTCCACTATTCTTAAACTATGGGATCCTAATCCTTCCTATTGGAGATCAAGATCCTAAGTCACATGGGATCCAAATTCCTTTGCATCATATCTGAAGGCTCATAGGTAAACTGAACTGAGATTCCACCAACTTGGGTCAAGATTCTCTTAGTGGGTGGACTCTATCGTCCCTCTTGCCTTCTTTTATGACCCATTGTTCAAAAATTCAGCTGCCTAGCCACCTAGGGAGTCTAGGCCGACCACTGAGCCGAACAAGCTTAGGCAGCCGCCTTTTGCCCTAAGCGGCTCAAGAGGGATGCCTAGGTAGACCAAGATGCCGACCCAGTGCCATCCCCTTAAATAAAAAGAGAAATTAAAAATATGACACCCTTTATAAAAAAATGTTAGTCTTAAAAGAAATATTTAATCCTTTAAAAAAAATTTTAAAAAGAAGAATAAGAATAAGAAGAAGACGGCAGGTTTCAAGGGAGAAACAATCTCGACAACAAAAAAAATAACTGCCGCTAACATTGAAGAAGGCCTCTCCTCTCTCTCTCCTCTTTTTTCTCCCTTGTACAAACAAGACAGGGAGTTGCAAAAAAAGCTGGATCAAGACCGAGAAACAAAAAGAAAAAACATAATTGCCATTAAGATTGTAGAAGCCTTCTCCTCATTTTTTCTCCTCTGCTTTGCACCTTGAGAATGAAGTAATATACAACTGACCAAAAAATATTCCAAAACTTACTTACCCCACTCTCCTCCCCCCCCCCCCCCTGCCCTTTCCCAAATACTAGTAATAATTAATTAAAAAAAAAATTGCCGGCTTAGGTGGCCACATCCAACTTTTTGAACACTGCCTTGAGCTTCAACTTAATGGCGAGTAACATCTATTTTGCACATATAGTTGACACTTTTTGAGAATGAAAGTGATGCTGTCACCTCACTCATGCATTAGCCTAGTCCCCTCACTATAACAAATAAACTTATACGTTAAAAAAGCGTTAATCATCCTTATCCTCTCTTTCGAACCTTAAACCCTAGCTGAACCTGAGCCCAAATCAAACCATCTCTCTACATCCTGAACACGAGCCCCAATCACACCATCTCTCTCCATCCATTCATGCCAAACCTCAACAATCCTAAACAACTAAGCATGTCAAAACCATCCATTAAAATACCCTAAATTTTTTCACCCCATGCACTATCCAATAAACCCTAGCCCCAGTTAACCATACAAATTAATTAAATCCTGATCTTAAATATTTATTATTGATGGGGAAGACCCATATCCTAAACGTACTCATACGGGATCCTCTTTGAGAAATTAAAAAAAAAAGGATCCCTACTCATACGAGATCTTTGTTTCTACATTTTTTCGATAAAGCTCTCATTGGCCTATATTAATATGGTTTCCTTTTCTAGAGAATAGAAATAGGAATTCTAACGTAAATTCAATAAGAGTGCCGTGCACCCAAAAAAAAAACAAAACAAAAACAAAAGCGTTGTATTCTGTAGAAGTCAGGACAAAAAATTGTTTGAGGAAGGAAGAATTCAATTAAGGACTATAATCAATCCATGAAAGAACAATAATTTTGGATTCTTCGAATTAATCAGAGTTTTTTAATATATTGATATTGATATCCACCACGATTTCCACATTGACCAAAATATCCTTACACTTTCACATAACAACAATCAAATACGGGCATGCATGAGTGACAAGAGCATTTCATAAATAGTAAATCAATCAACAAGTAAAAAATCAGGAATCGCAGATGGAAAATGATATTAACACCATTATGATACAGAATTAAAATAAGATTCCTATAGAAAAACAACGCACACAAGAAATGACAATCACATTGTGTACTAGAAATAAACCTAATAATTATACCTCAATTGCACTTTGCACGGAACTGCTTGACTCGAATTCCACAAAGCCAAAACAAAATCCCTGTTGCTGAACAAGTGAAAAGACGAGAAAATAAATGCACGAAATTTTAAAGAAAAAACAATACAAAACTCATCATTTATAAAGTGGTAGAGCCAAAAACTTAGCAAACACCTTGTTACTTCTCACTTGGATGCCACCACTCTTAATGGCTCCAAACTTCTTGAACTCTTCCTCAAGTTGAGCAGCTGTGGCATTCAAAGGCAGGCTTTTAATATATATTGAGTGGCCATCACCTGCAAGAATAACAAAAACATTAAGACTACAAATTAATAACAGAAACATATCACAAATAAGCCATGTAATAAATTCATTACTGTAGCCAAGCTATAACTTATAGAATTTCAATACATAACCTTCTGCCTCTTGAGTACTACTTTCAGTGGGATTTGTATTTGGAGCATGTGCCTCCTGTGCTACAGCAGGTGGTGCAGGCGCAATCACTTGTCTCTCAGAGTTTGAGGGTGTTGCCCTAGCAGAAGGGACTGGAACTGATAGATGTGATGGACTTTCCTTCATAACCTTCACCTGCATCATGGTTTGAGTTACCTCTCAACTATAAGGAGTATGCAGTCATTAGAAAAGCATCTTTCTTGCACAGAAAAAGAAAGAGAACATACAATTGAGGCGTATGATTTCTTTGGAACTTCTTCCTGAACAGATGACACAGCATCAACAGTTGCGGGAGACTCAATACGAACTTCATTGATAACTTCATCAATTGGAGCTTCCCCTTCCACAACCGAACCATCCTCATCGTCTGAAGGATTGTACACTTCCTCTGCATTTATATCTTCTTCTGACAAATGAGTTGCTTCATCTGATACTTTCTGCACTTCAACTGAAGAATTTTTTTTTTTCAATACAAGTAACCAAGCCATTGAATCAAAACACAAATCAAGTTGCAGCTATGAGGGTGCCAAAACTTCTGCTAATAATGCAACCATCAATATAACTTAAGACGGAAAACACTGAAATGAATAAGCAAATTTAGTTTGCCAAATAACAAAAGAATAAATAAGTTAAGCATACCTTGTTCTGGTGGGGTCCTCATTGTGGATTCCATGTCGGGGTTGACCAAACCAGGATTCCCCTCAAGCTGACCATTTTCTTCTACATATCTAAAGACATCATTCAGAACAAAGTAACCTTTGTCTTGAGGGGCTAAGAAGAAAGACTGAGTGAAGTTTCTCCTGACATTGTCTTTCCCAGTAAGATAACCAGTCACAAGAACAAGGACTCCTAAATTGAAAGATTCTTGTGCATCCACGGTCTTTATCTCAGCACGAGAGTTGCCATAATCCAGTGAAAGTATCTTGTCATTGATCGCCTGCTCAAAAACATCCACCAAACAGTCATCATGATAACTAAAAAACAATGATAGCATACAGGCCGAAATAGGAAGAGATTGGATAATGGACCGAATTTTGCATCTTATATCATCAAAAACAATAAACAAGTCCAATACAATGAACAATGCATTAACTAATACAGTGGAAGTTAAATATTGATACATTAAAAATTCAAAGCTTCCATCTTTTAATAATAACTTCCAAGACAGGCATTGATCTCAAACAGAACTTAAAAATTGAAATAATCGAAATTCACAGCTTCCATCTTTGAATCATTCCTATTGCTAGGAATGTTTCACATCAGTCGTACATTATTAACAACAGATGTTACGTTAACTATCTGAAATATATGCTTTTTTTAACCCTTAAAAAATAATCTCAGAAAAAAAGAGGATGCTTTATCAACAATAACTCTCTCTCTCTCTCTCTCTCTCTCTCTCTCTCTCTCTACTACACTACACACACACACACACACACACTACACTACTACTACTACTACGTACTACTACTACTACTACTACTAACGTACGTAACGTAACGTAACGTAACGTAACGTAACGTAACGTA